CCCCCCCCATACTTTCCAAAACTTCCCCCTCGTCTGTCCAAGTGCTTCTGCGACAACCATGCAAGACACCAACAGAGTGACCCTACAGCTATAGTGACCGGGTGTTTTATTCAGGTGAAGACGGTAGGCATAGTTCAGGTGTACACCTGGTCATTATCACTGTATCTAGACTGAAAATTGCACCAAATACAGCTATAACGACCGGGCGTTCTATTCAGGTGAAGATGGCAGGCATAGGTCATAAGTTCATAACTGGTAGGATCTCTCTTCCTTCTTTGTATGCGAAGCCAGAGGTTACCTGGAAGGGCTGTGTATGTTGCGAGCCGTCGGAGGCTCCTGATCTTGAGGGGTCTAATTGTCTTGTATTTTTTCCCAGGCGGGCATATCAGCACCACTAACACCGGTGGGGGTGTTTTCTTAAAATAAAAAAAAAATAAAAATAAAAAAAAGGAAGGAATGGGTCCACCCTTCATCCCCAATCAATTTTGACTATCTTCTGTTTATTAAATTATTACTGGTGTTGCTTTTGGCCATATACCCCAGAGAGTCTGTACAAAGAGAAGAGCTTCCATTGGACGGACTCTGGGGATATAGCCAAGGCATCGGATGGTCCGTTCACTTTTGGAGTCTGAGTTGCTAGGCCACCAGAGTGGCCCGGGACCACTTGCACGGCCGGACAAAAGAAAACAAAATGAAAATAAATTATAAAAAAATGTTATTTTCTAATTTGATTTTTTATTTTAAATTCGGTAAACAAAAAATTATGTGACCCTGAGGCAAAAGTTGTTCAGATTATTATTCTGCTGCATAACATAGTTTTTCTTTTCGTTTTCTTTAGTTGTTGTTGTTGTTTTTTTTTTTTTTTTTTTTTTTTTTGCTGGGACCCTCCCTGGTCCTTGCACGACCGGACCGCCCGGTAAAACAGGGTGGCCCGGGCGGCCCAGCGTAGTGTTTTGCCTGTTGCTGACACCTCTTCCATTGCAGTTCCTTTTGGCCGGTTCCGGTTTGACGACTTCTGTACTCTACCATTAACCAGAAAATAGTAAAATACCCAACATGTCCATAAGGGGCTCTGCTGGGGATACTACCGTCTTCACATGAATAGAACACCTGGTCATTATAGCCCTATTCGGTGCACTGTGGATTGAATTGAAAGCCCAACGAAATGTTCAGTCTAGGTACGGCGATAATGACCGGGCTTTGTATGCGGGTGAAGACGGTTGTTTGCAAACGTCGTCCCTCGCCATGCTAGACGAGGCCATATTTTGTCTGTTTACCGCCAGCAAAAAAAAAAGAAAAAAAAAAAGGTCTGGTTAACTGTTTGACTATCCACTTAATTTTTAGTTTCTTGTCTGATGTCAATAACTCCTTATACATTATAACCACTCCGCACCCCCCTTCCCCCCCCCCCGCAAATGGCTTCATAGCATACATGCAAGCGCACATCGTGTGGGCGGTTCCCTACGTGTGGCGCACACGCCCAACCGATCCCGTACGGCGCACGACGTGTGCGGAGAACGACCGTCACCCCCCTCAGAAAAAAAAAAAAAGGCCGGGGTCCAAACGGTGCGTTTGAGGCCCCCCGCCAAAATTATAAGCGAGATGAAAAAAACATTTACAGGAGTACTGCCTCACCTTGCTCCTCCTCCCCTTCCTCATCCTCCATGTCTCCTCCTCCCTTCTCCTTTCCGTCTCCTCCTCCTCCTCCTGTTCGTTCTCCTCCTCCTGCCCTTCCTCATCCTCCTTGGCTCCTCCTCCTCCTCGTACTTCCTCATCTTCCATGCCTCCTCGTCTCCTTCCCTTCCTCATGTCCTCCCCTTTCTCGCCGTCCATGTCTTCTCCTCCCACTCGTCCTCCTCCTCCTGCCCTTCCTCATCCTCCTTGGCTCCTCCTCCTCCTCGTACTTCCTCATCTTCCATGCCTCCTCGTCTCCTTCCCTTCCTCATGTCCTCCCCTTTCTCGCCGTCCATGTCTTCTCCTCCCACTCGTCCTCCTCCTCCTGCCCTTCCTCTTTTCCCTCCGTCCATCTCTTCTCCTCCCCCATCTTGACTCCTCGTCGTCCTCCTCGTCCACATCCTCCTCCTCCTCTCCATATCCCCCTCTCCTTGCCATATCCCCATCTTCCTGTCATACGCCCCCCCGTTCCCCCTCCCAAAAAATAAATAAATAATAATAACAAAAATAAAAAACCTGCACGATTCCGCACAGGCACCCCCTGCACGGAACTCCTTACAGAACTCCGCATGAATGTGCGGCTCGTGCGGTTGCAAGTATGCTTCATAGGGATGTTCCTGGCAATTTTGGGTCTGTGTGTTTCTCCTTGCTGGGCTTGCTGGTCCACAAGTAAGCTCTCCCCCTTTTTGTGGAGTTCTTTCATGCTGCTGTCCGGTACCGCCAGGATCAATGCTATAGGCTACCCATGGGGAGTCATGTGCTACTTGGAGCGAAGTCTGTGCGGTGATTGCCAGCGTCTGTGTGGTGTGTGTTGAGTGTGGACACTACAGCCTTGCAGGGGTGGGGTCGATATCACGACCGGTATGAAAACTCCACTTCTGAACACAGTGTCCTCGCTATAGTGGTTACGATACTTGGCTCTGCTTGCGGCCGAGGTCGCCGGTTCGAGTCCGTGCTTGCACGGAGGAGGAGGGCATTGGGCCCAGAGGTACCGATCCAATGACAAATGACTAATGACATATACGACATCATTTAGAAGATAGAAAACATATTGATGATGGTCAGAGCTCTCCCCATCAAGTAAAGGTTCATCCCCCTTTCCCCATTCGATTAAATTTGTGTTGGCAAACACGTTTTGGGCCCAGATTCTGTGAGCCCGCCTGAGTTTTAATTAATTGTAATGGAACCAGACAGAGTAAAAATCACTCGAAAAGTCCTGAAACTTACATGGGGTCGAAAATGAGATCTCACGGCCATCAGACTTTGAGAAAGAAAAAGAAAGACGATAAAGCAGGGGGGAATTGAAAACAGCGATCAGCACTCGGATCACGGTCACTATGGACTCTACGCAGTGAAATCTAGAAAGGAGCTGGCTGTATAGAGGGGCTACGAGGTGGTGCTCATATCACACCCCTCCTGTACCCACCCCTCCTGTACCCACCCCGAAGGACGTTCAAAGGGGGGGGGGGGGGGGGATAATAAAAAAATCTAATAAAGCGAGTAACAAGGAGCTGGTTCGGATAGGAAGGAAGGAAACATTAAGACAACCGTCTTGCCCTGAATAGAAAACACCCAGTCATTATCGCTGTATCTAGACTGAAAGCTGCACCACATACAGCTATAATGGCCGGACACTCTTATCTCCCGGGACAGGGTGGGGTAGAGATTCTTCGTAGGAAGTTGCGAGGAACATTCTCCCATCTCTCATTTTTCCCTACAAACAGACGCAGCATTGTGGATTAGCCATTGCCAACTGGCAGATATGTTTCCGAGTACCCAAGAGCCTAGCTCAGTGGGTACACCCATGAACTGTTGAAATACAGACCAGGTGCTGTGTTCGAACTTAGATGGTGGAACTTGATTGATGAGTAAAAACCAAATATTGCTGAATTGCCTGGGGCCGGTCAGCTCAATGATGATATCTCAAGACCGTCGCCCTTTGAAAAAAGAAAGAAAAAAGAAAAAAGAAAAAAAACGATATGTGTTCGAGTTTCAAGCTTATCTGAGCAGTAGTCTGAAGAGTCTGAACCATCTATTCACATGCAAGCATGTGAAATTGTGAACTCAATTACAAAAAGAAAAAGAAAAGGAAAAAGAAAAAGAAAAAGAAAAGGAAAAAGGAAAATTTCAAAACTTGAAAATGAGAACTAATTTATTATCTATACACATTCTTCTCCACAACTGCGCACAGAAATTGGGAAAAAAAAGGAAGAAAAAAAAGAAAAAAATTCAAAAAAGGGAAAAAAAAAGAGAACAGATTAGGTTTGTCTTCCCTTCCGGTGCTAGGACGTGGCCCTGCTCTTGTGCTTAGACGTGAGTGTATCTGACCCTGTCCGTAAGATACATACATTCGATCTCAGAAGCAGGCTACATCTGAGCTTAGACGCTTAGACATATGCTTAGACATGTAGGTAGGTAGCATGACGTATAATTGAGAGAAGAATATTCCGAAAATAGCTTTTAAAAAACCCAGAAAAAATCCACTTTCAGTTTTTTTTATCACACATTGGAATGGGATATACTCAATACTTCTTTATTTCATTCATCAGTTCTTGTATGCCCCAAGTTCCCCCAACTAACAACTTCTACGGCTGATCGAACTGCATATAGAAGGAAAGGATATTATAGTCAACACAGCCCCACTGATAACCTTCTACAGCTAAGTTCAAGTTCTGGCCATGGTCACTTGTGAAAGAGCACCTCCTCCTCCTCCTCCTCCTCCTCCTCCTCCTCCTCCTCCTCCTCCCCCTCCCTCTCTCTCTCACTCCCCCTCTCCCTCTCTCTCCCTCCCTCTCTCTCTCTCTCTCTCTCTCTCTCTCTCTCTCTCTCTCTCTCTCTCTCTCTCTCTCTCTCTCTCTCTCTCTCTCTCTCTCTCTCTCTCTGTGGTGAAAGAGCTACCTTGCCGTCAGAAGGGCAAGCTGAGAACAACAGATTAAACACAGTCGACAGAAAAGACCTGAAAGTTTTTACCTAATGCGGAAGCGTAAAAAAAATTAAAAAAAACGAAAATTCCGCACAGTTCCAACAGGTTGATTATTCCTGCAGTTGACAGTCTCCCACCAGCCCTCCCTCCCCTCCCTCCCCTCCCTCTCCCCCTCCCCTCACTCGCCTCTCTGAGGCTCTCTCCCTTCGGGCGATCGACTTCTGACTCTCTCTCCTTATCTCTGTTGCAGCTTGGTGAGTGTAGGTGTCCTTTCTGCTCAGTTGCCAAATTTCCAATATGTCCTTGAATGAATGTCATCTTCCTCTAGTAATGAGACCAAGATGGCCCTGCCGCTGCTCCTGGAGACAAAGAACCATATACAGCGATGGTTAAGTAGACTCTGCCTTGCATCCACCAACACCTACATGGAGCCCGTCAAGCATACGCATAAGTCGACGTGCAGAGCAGATGAACTACCACATCAGCTGATGACCACTTGTCGGCACACCTCTCCCATGTGTCGTTGCGTGTCTTACGGCGTGCTTGGCAGGAGGACGTGCTGCTCTGTGCAAGGCAGAATCAATGAAACCGCCAGGATATCACAACATGCCAGAAACACACGCGATGCGACATGCTGTGCCTTGTCGTCGCTCCCTCCCTCCCTCCCTCCCTCCCTCCCTCCTCTTCTGAAACACAAGTGAAGCGACGTGTTGTGCCTTGTAGTCATCACTTCTCCCATCCTCTTCTCCCATCCTTGTGCAATGTTACAAACATGGCCGTCGCCACTCATCTACCCTTTATGCAAAGATCGATCCTCAATCACCTCCTGAGTCCCCATCCGACCCTGCTAGACAGGCAAATCATGCCGACCTTAGGTGTCCATCCAACGACTTGGACACTGCAGATCCCACTCCCGCCCCCCCAGACAAAAAAAAGAAAAAAGAAAAAAGCCTCCCTTCTCCACCTCCACCCCCACCTCCCTCCCTCCCTGATGCCGACCTTAGGTGTCCAGCCAACGACTTGGACACTGCAGATCAACTACTGCCGCTGTCAGATATATAGATGAAATCCATGTCACGTCTCCCCTCGTCCTTCTCGACCTCCACCCCTCCCTCCCTCCCTCCCTCCCTCCCTGATTGCCAACCGATGAACATTCCTCATCTGTATCTCTCTCTGTTATTGAAGACCCCAGTCGAGACGCCGCTCCCTCCGTCCAGACATTCGCGGCGATTGCAAGTCACAGGATCAATCCCTGTCTGCCATGTTCGTTCTGCCACGCCTCTCCCCCAGTCCCGTTCGAAATGTATTCCTCGTTTTCCCTGGCGACTAGAAAAAGGGCTTTATTTTACTTTTACTCAGTAGCAATCGTGATCCGCTACTACGGGATGTCGACTACTATTGAGACTATACAATTTGTTATTGTTGTTTTCCAAAAGGACTGAAAAAGATGCAGCCATGTGCAAAAGCTGAAACAGGAAAAGAAAGGGGGCGGGGAGGGGTGGTGGTGGGGACCACTCAAAAATCTGGAAAATGGACCAAAAAAGAGAGAACTCAGAGGGGGGAAAGGCAAACGTTCGTCTGCCATTTGATCAATTCCCTGCAAAGGAAAAAAAAAAAAAAAAAAGGAATGCCACTAAACGCACCATTATGAGAAAATGACAAGAAAACAACAGGGAAGGAAGACAGCAGAGAAAAAGTCACAGTGCCTTCCACATACGAATGCGAATGTGTCTTGGAGGCAACAAGAACACGGTAAAGAGAATTCGAAATTTCTGACGACAAAAAAATGGATGAATGAAAGTGCCGACTCAAAAATGAAAAGACGAAAAAAAAAGAAAAAAAAAAGACAAGAAAAAAAGAAAAAAAAAAGACAAAAAAAAAAGAAAACCAAGTAGTGGCTGGCTGCTGGGGGCATGCAAAAGCATACCTCTCCTGGAGTCCTGGACGTCGACGGGTTAGTATCTGCTGTGTGTAGACGGACCGCGGTTGTGGACGAGGAGGGGGAGAGAAGGTAGGTAACTGACAACTGACCTACTGGGATTCTCATAATGCTACTTATTTTTCAAACTTCTACATCAAAAAAAAAAAAAAAAAAGAGAGGAAAAGAATCTGGACTAGGAGGCGAAGACTATTCATCCGGGAGATGAACGGTAAAGCGAGTGTGTCGTCCGGCAGAAAGAAAGCGCGGAAAAAAAAAAAAAAAAAAAAAAAAAAAAAAAAAAAAAAAAAAAAAAAAAAAAAAAAAAAAAAAAAAAAAAAAAAACCCTGGATAGGGCACAAAATGAGTGGAAATTTGAAAACTGGAAAGGCAGCAATCTCGTCTCGTTTAAGGGAAAAAAAAGGAAAACAATTTAAATTTTAAACAAAGGGAAAAAAAACAAAGGGAGGGACGGGATAATTTCTAACTTCTACGTTGCTAACCGACCAATAAATCTGACCGGGTACTCTGCACAAAGCTCTAAAGAGAAAAATATATAAATTGAACTACTAAGAGCCTAGTAAGAGGCATGTTTCACATTAAAAAAAAAAAGAAAAAAAAAAAAAGAAGATATCTATCGAGTCTATCGACCAAATAGAATTGACACAAAATTGGAACCCCCTACCACCAAATTCGCCACAAAA